GAGACAAGCCACCCCAACAGTTGGCCGCACACTAGTGTCAGCCTTGGTAGGATAAATCTCCCCAGACTTACCCAATGGCTGTGAACATTCTAAACTAAAACAAGTCTGATTAAGTGTCCAGTTTAAGGGTATTACACAGAAACACACCACAAGAACATGAATCAAATGAGTACTTTATTCATTTACAATATATTCATAATGTACATAATTCTAATTGAAGCTAAGTGCATACAACTGTCTAACAACTTCCACTTGCACTTAGGTCCAATCTGGTATAAGCCGGGGTCCCATCTTTTCCACGTGTTTCTCGAACACTTCTGTGTCAGTGACTTAGTTAATGGGTTTGCTACATTCTCTACTGATGCTACCTTCTGAATCAAGATATCCCCTCTACCAACAATCTCCAGGAGTACGTGGTACTTCCTCTCAATGTGCTTCGACTTCGAGTGGGCTCGTGGCTCCTTCGCTTGGGCAATCGCTCCATTGTTGTCACACAACAATGGGATGGGTGATGTGCTGGACGAAACTACTCCCAATTCGTGAACGAACTTCTTCATCCACACGGCTTCCTTGGCAGCTTCATTTGCAGTAATGTATTCGGCCTCGGTTGTGGAGTCTGCTGTGGACCCCTGTTTGCTGCTTTTCCAGCAAATGACACATGATCCTATCGTGAAAACATATACAGATGTTGACTTTCTATCATCCGGATCCGTCTGGAAATCCGCATCTGTATACCCTTGGATCTGTAGTGAACTACCATCGAAACCAGACAAAACTCTTTTGTCCTTCGAAGGTACTTAAGTTTGCATTTCACAGCAGTCCAATGCTCCTGCCCTGGGTTGGCCTAGAATCTGCTTATTACACTCACTGCCTGGGTGATGTCAGGATGAGTGCACAGCATGGCATACATGATGCTCCCTACGGCTGAGGCATAGGGAACGTCTTTCATGCTCTCGATCTCCTCAGAGGTCTTTGGAGACATCTTCTTGGAGAGATTGACTCCATGCCTGAAAGGAACATTTCCTTTCTTGGAGTTTTCCATGCTGTATCTCTTGACTATTTTGTCAATATAAGCAGATTGGGATAATCCTATTATCCGCTTCGATCTATCTCTATAGAGTCGAAGACGCAGTATATAAGAGGCTTCTCCAAGGTCTTTCATGGAGAATTGCTATGATAGCCATACTTTTATCGTAGTTAACATTCCTACATCATTCCCAATGAGCAGAATGTCATCTACATACAAAACCAGAAACGTAACCTTGTCACCACTGGTATTCTTGTAAACACAGGGTTCATCCGGATTTTGCTCAAAATCAAACATTTTGACCGTAGAGTCAAACCTTAGTTGTATTTGGGAAATAAGCCTGAAATAAGTGTTTATTTTAAAAATAAGGGCATATTTTTTAAGCTCAAATTTTCAGCTTTTTTTAAGTGCTCATACAATAAGCACTTATTCAAAAATTTCACCCATAATTCTCCCTGGTAAATTTTTAGAATACCAATTATGCCCTTTTATAAAAGCACTTTTACAAAGGCACTTTTATAAAAGTAATTTTATGAAAAGTGCTTTTACAAAAACACTTTTTAGAAAAGTACTTTTATGAAAGCATTTTTATAAAAGTACTTCAATGTTAGCTCTTTTGTAAAAGTGCTAACATTGAAGTACTTTTATAAAAGCACTTTTATAGAGTACTTTTACAAAAGCAATTTTATGAATGTACTTTTATAAAAGCAATTTTATGAAAGCACTTTTACAAAACACTTATGAAAGTACTTTTATAAAAGCGATTTTATAAAAGTACTTTTATAGAAGTATTTTTATAAAAACACTTTGACAAAAGTGTTTTTATAAAAGCGCTTTTACAAAATCACTTTTATAAAAGCAATTCTATCAAAGTACTTTTATTCATTCACTTTGGATTAGGTATTTTGAAAATTTGAAAGAAAATGAAGGACAAAATAGTCACAATTGCTTATTTAAGTGCTTATTGGAAAAAAAGACCACTAAATGTCTAATATAAAATAAGTATTTATTTTTTAAAATAAGCACTTGAAAAACCTGGATGTCAAATGCAAATAGTACTTATTCAAATAAACACTTGTCTTTAAGCACTTATTTTAGCATAAGCAATCCCAAACATGGCCTAAATGTTGTAGATGGGGACGTTAATAGGTCGGGTTTGATTCAATCCATACCCAATGCAATGACGCTCCAACTATGACTTGGTCGGGTGATGCCAACAAACCCGAACCTGGTAGGGTTAGGTCAATGTTCAACCTAATCCATTGATAGCGAGATATCCTTGATGATAGAACATAAGAAAGAGAATTATGGTTAGAAGGACACATAGCAAGTGGAGAGAGTTTGGACCGGGCTTGGGCATAAAATCCCTAGCCTTCTTGCTTTTGAGCTTGGGCTTGTACCTAGCTATTAGGTAAGTCCAACCCAATTTTAGCACTATCATGGCTCAACCTAAGTACGGCCCGATTATGGACATACATAAATGTAGTAGATATAGCATATAATGGTTTAAACTAATAGACTCAGTCTGATTCTGATTGACCAAGCCGAGTCTGACCCAAACCTGAAGCCCAAACCCAACTAGAATGTGTCAAATTTCTATTCAGCTTGGGCTAGGTTGGATACATTTGGGCTTGATCGCGACCATAAAACCGTCCCAACTCACCTAAGCTTCACCATTATATGTTTGACCCAATTTATGAAACTTAAAACAGTCCCAAAGATCTCAGGGTCCGTTTGGTTTGTGAACAGGATCATAATCGGAATCGGAACCAAAATGCCCAAGAATTAGAATTGGAGTCACCAATTCCTGATGTCTGTTTGGTTCAATTAGCAATTGGAATCGGATTCTGATTGTTGCTATTTGGTTCATGGGAGTGGGAATTGAAATCAATTGAAAGTTTTCAATTTTGTATTTGTCTATTTATTATTATTTTTTATTACTTTATTAATTTCTATTATTTTATAATTAAGTCATTATTATTGAATAATTAATATCTTAGTATTTTATTATTACATTATTTATATTATATTAATATTTTATTTGTACTTAATTATTATTTAATAAAAAATATCTTTGCTTTTTATTATTAATTTATTATAGCATTATTATTTTAAGAATATTTTAATTATGAATATACTCTTATGTATTTATTTATTATTAACATTATTATTATTATTTTATTATTACTTTAATTATATTATATTAATATTTTATTATTTTATTATAATATATTATTGTTTATTATTATTATCTTACTAGAAAGGGCCCTTGTTTCGTAGGGGCAAAATAGAATAAAGTACTAGAGTTCTTAATGTTTATATAAATTTTATATATTAAAATCAATACATATTATAATATAATATAATCAAACTCAGATTTTAATCAAATTAAATGGAGTCAAATTCAAATCCAATCCGATTATTAATCGAATGCAAATTGCAAAATCTGAATATAATCTAATGTAAATACATCATTCAGATCCGAGACAATCGAATCAAATGTTAGATTAGGTTGTGGAGTTGACCCGTTTAGTTGAACCATTTGAATTGTCACCTATCCATGATTTTGGGTCTAGTTTTAGTAAAACCCTACCATTTGATTAAAATCGTTGACATAGGAAAAAATCGTCTAAGAGCAATTGGACCATTGATCATGTTTGATTTCATTAAAACCTTATCATTTTGGTTAAAAACCATTGACCTAGTAAAAAATTGTTTGAGGGTGATTGGACCGTTGACCCATTTCACTTGGTGATCAAGTCGCAAGTTGCACACTAAATGTGTATGCAAACTTCTAGAGGCCATAAATATTGGCCTAAAATTGCAAATTTTAGCATTTTTATAAATAAAAAATAAAAAAATATAAACTAAATGTAAAGTAATATTTATATATACATATATTACATCTAAAAGAATGATTATATGTATACATTTGCTGATGTGGCCTAATTTGTCCTATGTGATGGTATTAACATAAATATTTTGATCTTTAATAGCAATTGTAAAAGAATTTAATTGTCATTATTACTTTTTATCGTTATATGATGGGTATGAGAAATCCATTCACTAAGGGGGGCCTAGAATGGCCATTCTCATTCCTCTGTTACTCCCAAAAATGAGAATCATAATACCATATCTACCAACCAAACAGTAGAAACTAGAATGAGCCATTCCAATCCGATTCCAGACACCTAATCCTATAAACCAAACAGACCCTCAATCATCACTAATCATTCCCTCTTTCTATCTCTCTCTCTCTCTCATTGATCTCGTGGCCCACAAGACCACTAAAATCGGCCTGGACCACAATTCAAATGGTTCCTACTTGAATTTTCAGAAAACAACCTTATCTCCTATTTTTTGGTTAAATTATAAAGTAAAAGACCTTATCTCAAACACTCATCATATACCTGTAATGCTCTCCTCATTGTGTTATAATGTAATAATGGATGCTAGTGATTATTCATCCATCATTTGCTTTGTTCATATTTTGAGTTTGATGATTGGAGATTTCATGTCCAGACATTAATCAACTCTCCCACTATATATTATATACATCCCCAAAATACAAATATACATTTAATGTTGTTGGACGTTGATGATTACCTTTTCCAACGCACATGGGTGGTGAGGATGAGGATAGGCTAGGGAAGATTCTGCCCACCTTAAGATTGGAATCCACATAATACCCTTGATCATTAGAGCATGTTCTTGATTCCTCTTGGGTTCCAATCGGACGGTATTAGGGCAGTTAAAATTTTAGTCGTGTCCCTACATCGTATTCTTTATTTGGAAAACCTACAATTATTAATTCGACCGTTGTAAACTTTTCCTCGCCGCCTCGCCGGCTCTTTCGAAGACGTTACGACTCGTGGCATTTTCGGATATTTCGAACCGTGCATGGGGTTATTCTTAGAATTTAGTATTTCCGAGATTCGACCGTTGCAACATTTGAAAGTATTGCGACGATTCTTTGAAAAATGGATTCCCGTGTCTCTTTCTTCTCTAATATGCTCCCCTCACACGCACTCTCTCTCTCTCTGCACTGAATCTACTGAACCCATGGCGGATCAACAAGTGAACTTGTCCGTCACAGAACTTAAACCGCTTCACCCACTTCACCAGATCGCAGAAAGCCCAACCCACAAACTCCTCCTCAAGCAATGGCTCAAAGAAGAAGAACTGATCCTCGGCCGGATTGCTCTGAAGGAAACCCAAATCGATACTGTTCGTAAAGAGATCACCCAACTGTACTGCTTCTTCTTCCTCTTCCATTCCACAGCGCTTGTCCTCCTCTTCAGTGCGGCATCGAGGGACCCACATGGTGGGGCATGCCATAGATCCTGGATCCCATCCCTCTGCTCTCTCCTTTGTTCTTTGGCAATCATCTGGGCCATCAGATACAAGACTGATGTCGAGGGCCACACTGAGAAGCTACTGGAGCGAGAGAAAGAAGACGCGAAGCTTTTGACGAAATGCGTTGAGGAGTTGAAGAAAAAAGGAATGGAGTTCGATTTGTTGAAAGAAGTGGATGCGCTGAGGAGGGCTAAGAGCTTGAGGGTCGAGGCTAAAGTGGTAAGAAAATGGTCGGCTAGGGACTTCGTCACCCTATTCTTTTTTGCTGTTTCTTGCTTGGTTCTGGTTCTTACAAGGGTTGTTATATGTAATTAGTTATTGAATGGAAGAGTTATTTCGGGATCCGTTGCTTCTTCTGGATTCCGTTTATGTACTCTTTCTTTGATTCATTTCTGTTTTCCTTTTCTTGTATTCTTGAATATTTGACGATTTAAGAAAATGGGGAATATTTTGGGGATTTTTTGGGGTCATGGACAGGTGAGAAAAGCAGAATATTTTGTTCTGCTTCTGTTAGTGTATGGAGCCCATATTGAGGAATCATGAAATAAAAATATGTTATTATTTCACTTCTGCCTTTGGGTTGATAGAGAAGCACCTTTATGGAAAATCTTGGGCTTTGTTTTGATGTTTTAGTTTTTTTTCCTGTAACTATCAATGGTTCCATAGTTTAATATATGCAATGCTACGATTCACTACTGGTTGTTATATCAATCCATCAATGGTGGTCTAATGGAGAGTTTTGCAGTTCTAAAGTGGACAATCATACATGGATCTATGTTTGTGGAACCGTTTGGTTCCTCCCAAATGTCCTCAAGGAATTCTAGGAAATATCTCAAGGACGTTCCAACAACTTTGTCTTTCTCTATTATTTTCTGAGGAACTGAAGATTTTGTTTTCTGTAATACGAATCATGTTTCACAACCCTCCTTCAAGGTAATTATGAGAACTGAACCTAGGTTTCCCTCTCCTCCTAATTTGCATATGTTATGGTGTTGTTGGAATACAATTGAAAAGAAGCTCCCACAAAGATATGAAAATGAAAATAGCTGCTTTAGGAAATTTTTATCGTCTCTTTTTCTGTTCTCTCTCTCTCTCTCTCTCCTAAAAAAGTTGGCAAAGAGTGAGAAGAGATATTCTTTAATGCTAGTGAGATATTCTTTCAATTAGAGTATCTCCGCTAAGCCACCCTTCTTCTTTAGTCCAATCGATACACTTGGCTTGTTTGGGTTTTGGCTTTGTCTCGGTATTTAATAATTCTGTTCAGTGTCGGTGTGTCAGTTCAATTGAATCAAGCGTTCTGTTGAAAAGCCCATCTATCCTTCCTAATTGAAAACACATTTGCCCCCTTCATTTCAGAGTGGGATACCACCAACTCAACTCACTACTACAAATATCTCAGTTATTTGTTAGTAAAATTTATTGTTTAGTATATTCCCATTTGATGAGGTGGTTGCACTCGAACTGGGTGTGAAAATTCAAAGCACATTTAATCGTAATGTTTTCACAAAATCCTCTTCCATTTACAGACTGAACAATGACATTTATGTTCTTCAAGGGAAAATGTAAAAGAGACCCACAAAGCAAACACTGGATGCTAATTAATCGATATACAACCAACCAAAGCATAATGAAGTTACAAACAGAAGAAGACTTCAGACTGAACCCACATCAATAAACTCAAGAAAAATGGAAACAAGATAAAATACAACATTCCTCTGCTTGAGGAACAAAATACCCTCCTTCACTCAGATAGAAATAGAATAGAATTCAAACCATTGAGATGAGGAGTGATATGATAAATCTTCTATTTTTCTTTATTTTACCTGTTTGCTGTTTTTCCACCCAGTAACTCAGACATTGGTTGTTGAATTGTCTGGCTTGATATGAGTCGAAGGAGGTGAAGAAATTTCACCTTTTGGTGGTGTGGTGGGCATTCCATACATGTGGTGATGGGTGCGCATTTCTTTCCTTCCCTTGGCTCTCCCAAGGAAATAACATCCTACACCAAGTAGGATTGCAAAGAGAACCAAGGGGAGAGAGACAACTACAACTAGAGCCATGTTTTAGCTAAAGAGAGAAGAAAATGGGGAGGCTCAGAAAACCCAGATGTCTATGAAGGGAGATAGATAGATCCAGACAGAATAAATAGAGAAGAGAAGCCTCAACTTTCACAAGGAATCTAGTACCATCCAGCAAAGTAATGTATGTTCCTTCGTTGTGTCTCTCGACGGTTGGCTTGAATTTGAAGTTGCCTAGTTGGAAAAGAAACAACGATTCTAGCTCTTAAGCTAACTTTTCGTGAAATGGTGGAGACTGTCTTTTATTCTGTTATTTAATATATGGTCTATGGCTACTTTGACAAGATATATGTGGGGCCTCACTTCATCATTCACAGATCAATTGATGGACTTAACCGTCCAATTCATGTACCATATGCACCGGCAGTTCTTCAATTCATCTCCCATGAAGAAAAAAAAAATCATGATTAACTTGATGGACCCATTGGTGCAACTAGGGGTGTCAATTGGACCCATTGTTTTCCTAGGGCTGTCAATTAACTTGAGGAAAAGGACCATTGTTTCTTTTCCTCTGTTTTTCCTGGACCCATTGGTGCAACTAGGGGTGTTAATTGGACTAATTTGGACTGGTCCAATTAGTTTGGTCCAATCTGATTGGACCAAAATGAATTTGGTCCAATCTGATCCAGTCCAATGTGAATCCATTATAAATGGATCAGGTCCATTGAATCTTTTGGACTAATTTGGACTGGTCCAATTCAATGTCTAGACCATCTAATCTGTTCAAATTCATTTTGATTTAGATTGGTTTCAACCCAAACCCGGTTCATTGACAGATATATTCTTATCTTATATCAATGGACTAGATATTGGCTTAATTCAACCCAATCCAATATAAATTTGTTATGGATGGACCAGGTCCAATCCAATCTGATAAATATTTTGGACCGGATTGGTCCAATCCAATATGTCTTGTTGTTCCGTCTAATCCATCCAAATTGATTTTGGATTGGACGGAGTCCAATCCAAAACTGGTCCATTGACACCCTTAAGTGTACAATTTCGGTAATTTGTTAACTTTTCAATGGGCATGAACCCTAAGCCGAGCCCAATGTAGTTGAAATTCTTACAGCCGAATTCAAAGATACTCTACTTGATGAAGTGTTATGCTAATTGAACCAATCCTGGACCAGAGGTTGAACCGTCTTTCCCTCCAGCCTGGTTTAGATGAAGTACCCGATGAATGAGTCCAATGCCTCAATGGTTCAACCATCCATTCCCCTATAGGGGCTGTAAATCATTTATTCTTGTCATAGGCACATCACTTTTTCAACAACTATTTTAACAATTCTTCTCCAAATGGTGGTGGAAGCCAATAGTGGGGCTCCAAACTGCATCTATGATGGGTTGAAAACATTGAATTGAATTGGAAGTGTATGTAGCATAAACCAAGGTTCAAAGTATCAATTCATCCTGATATGCTAGATGGGGTGTATGGACGCTTAGAACCATGCACATGTTTTTTTTTTTTCAAAAAATACGAGGTCGGTTTTAGGACTGCCTACCCCCCTTGAAAATAACCAAAATTTCAAAGAAACTTTATTTAAAGTATTGACACCCACAAGTAGGAACAAAGTGAATGAGACCTTGAATATATTAGGCTGCGTATGGAAATGATACGAATGGAGTGTAAATTCAGGTTCAGGGTAAATTTGCACTCTAGTTCACTTTTGCCTGGCAACATTACATTTTATATATGCATTGACAAATGACAGAAAACACATATTCCAATGTATAGTTACATTGATAATAAGATGTAAAAGTACATCAATAAAAAAAGTAATTTCGGGCGGGCTCAATGCAGATTTCTGAATTCCACCGGAGAGTTATAAACATTCAAAATGTCAAAACCCCCCCACTCTATACAATGTCCACCCATGAATTGGCATCAATTCCAAGCTGGCACCCACCCCAACTGTACAACTGTACTTTGGGCCTAAAAATATATAACCTAGGCTGAACCGTCATTCATTGCATTCAAGTGGGCTTTTGATTAAAAAAAAGACATATGCTTTATTGGAATTTATGTGCAAAACTAACCCAACTTTACAATTTATATGAACCATTTTACACTTTACATTTTTGCATTCACACTTATTTGCATATTTCCAAACACAGCCTTACATTAAGGAATAAAAGTCGTTACTTTTCTCCTCTTTTCCTCTACGCGTTTTTCTGATTGTAATCCTAATCTTCCATTATAGCTTTAAACAGCACAAAAGTAGTTGTCTCACAAATAGAAAGCGAAATATAAGCTTTGAGAATTTTCTCGCTTCCTCTTTCCTTCTTTTTTGGTTGTTTTTGGATTAAACAATGGGTGTGGACAGGGCTGTATTGGATCGGATTTGTATTGGATCCACATATATTTGAATCCTATGCTATTGATATTTGAACTTTGAATTATTTATCCAGAAAATAAAAAAAACCTTAAATTGGATTTAAGCCTCCGTTTGAGAGTGGTTATTTTTAAGTGCTTATTTGATAAGTATTTATTTTAGGCTGAGACTACACCAAATAAGTACTTTTGTAAATTTGGTGAGAAAGCTGAATAAGTTCTTATTCCTAAAAATAAGAGCACGATTTGAAGAATCCACAATTTTGAATTTATTTTTAAGCACTTATTTCCTTTTTTGACTATCATCATTTTGAAATGCCTATGTTATTCATGTTTGAAATAAGCATTGATTTTTATTTTATTTTTCACCAAATACTAACACTTGTGAAAGGAACACTCCTAAACGGGGGCTAAATCAGATTATATATCACCAATAAATTAAATTGAAAACTGACTAAAATGTCATATTTAATCAATAAAATGAATCAAATATGACTATATTATTAATAAACTGAATTATAAAATAACTTTAGTGAGACTTTAACTTACTAGCTTTTAATGAAAATATAATATTTAATTTAGCTTTACCAATAAAATGTATGCATATATGTATTAATATCATTGGATTGGAAAGGATCCAGATAATCGAATACCAATAAAATGTATGCGTATATGTGTTTAAAGTAGAAGAATTTTAAACACAAAAGTGTTCAATTGAATTTGATTTTGTTTCACACTCCAAAACAAGATTTTCGAATTGATCCGGACGGTCGGACTGTTTGGTTTGAGAACCGTCCAAGCAATCAGTTATGTTTTACCTTAAACCCGATATTTGGCAAAAAATTGTTAAAAAAATCAACAATTCATTGACCTGGACAGTTGAACCTTTGATCCATTAACCCATTCAACGGGTTTTGACCGTTCTTTTATTTTTTAATTATTTAAAATTTTTTAATTTATTTGTTAGAGAACAAGCCGTTCATTTGAACCAGATGATCAGATTATTGACCCAGAAACTGGTAGTCAGAACGATTCCATTTTCAGGTCGATTTTTAAAACATTGCTCCAAAATTCATATTGGATTAAGTTTTATCGATTCAGCCACTTTGGAGAATCTACCTATATAATTACTTCTCAGTTCTGTTTTTTTGACAAATGCTTAAACTTCACTTTGATCTCTGCAAAAACCTTTTTTTTTTTTTTTCTCACGTTTCAAATAAATATTCCCTTCCCTGACGGAAACGTTAATATAACTTCAAATTTTCAAATTTCCAATTTTGTTCATGAGAAGCTTTAATGGAGATTTACTGAATTACCCTTAAAAGTGTGAAGAATGGCGTTAACTGCACATTATTTGAGAAGGGCATTCTCATAGTTTCAATATTTCTGCTACAGGGTAGTAAACGGAAGGGAGGGGTGTATTTGCATATTTAGTTAAGACCGTGAAAGGATGCTTTTGCAGAAATCAAAATACAGGAGATGGTTTTAAATATTTGTCAGAAAAATTAGGAGCGGTTTTAAAAAGCGTTGTACGCATAGATCTGTTTTTTGTTTGTGAATCTGCAACTGGGAACTGGGCTGTTTGGCATGGATGCCGTTGCTCCAGAAAACGGTGATACATGGTGTCAGCATCATGTTGGAAAAAACGGTTTTCTAGAAAACGTCTGTTTGTTTGGAACCGTTTTTTCATAAAAAAGTACTTCAAAACATACTATAGATAGCGGGAAGTCGTGGCTGGCTTAGAGCAATACCGAATTTAACATTTCTTGGAGCAGCTTGTTGCTGCCAACTGTGACATAAGGTGACAGTGACAAACAAAACGTTTCCTGGAACATTGGTGGCAAACAAAAAATATTGCTGTTGCCGGAGGAAACGTCCTTCCTACCTGACAGCGACGTTTTCAAAAAGAAAAAAACACCGTTTTCAACCATCAGCAATACCATTTCCTGAAACTATACTTTTATTGCAATCGATGCCAAACATATACTGCATTGTCGCTCCTCTTTCACCACATCGGGATGAAGAAGCTCCAGCACTTTCAACTAGACAAGTAGGATCTTCAAGCAATCAAGATCTTTAAGATTCCAAGTCCCAACTCTCAATTAAATGTTGTTCATCACTAATTCTGCTCATGCAGATTATTCATCATCAGGAGCATTCAATGCAGCTGACTTAACAAAATTAATTTCTCAGCTTTATTGCTCCAAAACTGTAGATTGGTTTTCAGATCCAACACTACATCCCAAGGTTGTTTTAATGAAAAAATTTAACAATATTTATTACTTGATCTACACAGACCCAATATATCTCAATTCCCTTCTAATACATTCTTTATTTCTCATTAAATTTCACACTAATATAGGGTCTAGGGAAAACAAATATAATATAAAAGAAAAAGAAAACCCCTTTACAGCAGTAATCAATTCAAGACAGACAGAAAAGGAGAGAGGCAGACGAATATATTCAATCTTCAAAGAATAGATATGAGAGGAGCTCTTATCTTTATCCAGACGGATCTGGAATGAGAGAGCTGTTATTGCTATATTTTTGTTTCTTCACATGGAAACTCAGACATTGTTCAAGTTGTCTGGCTTCTTGGTGAAAGTCGTCGGAGGTGAAGGAAAAGAAGCAACACCGCCGGGTGGTGGAACGGGCTCCCCGTAGATCTGCGGGCAGGTGCGGACGTCTTGCCGCCCCCTGGCCCTCCCTAGGAAGTAGCAGCCAAAACCAAGCATAATTGAGAAAAGAATCAAGGGTAGAGACACCACTACAACCATACCCATTTTCTCTGTCTCTTTCTGTTTCTTCTTTGCCTCAGAAAACCCACCAAATCTCAGCAATATGAGAAGCTTTTGAAAACCCAGATGCAGAAGAAGAGATTAATTAGTCCAGAATTAACAGGGACTGCTTGTGCTTGGGGGAATAGATGCTTCAGCTTCTGGACATTCTTCTTCTTCTTGCCTCAGAAAACTCACCAAATCGAAAACAATGGAGAGAAAACAGATTGTAATTAGAAAATGAGAAACTTTGGAAAACCCAGATGGTAAAGTGGATATTAATTAGTTCAGAGTAAATAAATAGGGACTGCTAGGGGAGTAGAAGCTTCAACTTCGGGAGAGATCACGTACAGTCCAGGTTGGATTTGAGTTGAGGAAATCTGTCTTTTCCTCGCAACGGTTGGGTGTTGACTGCTTGAATTAACGTTCAAGTTCGTAACGGCTACATTTTTCTGTCGTGTGGGCTGAATTGAAATAAAAAAAAGATGGCCTATCCTGGGCCGTAGATTTTGGCCAACTAATAGTCATTAATTGATCCACAATTGATGATGATGAGTTACCTTTAGGGGTGTAAGTCCGGCGGGCTGGCCGGGTTTTACCTCAACGCAGGCCCAATTCTTAAAGCTCAAGCCTAGCCTGACCCCACGTCAATCTCAAACAATCCGATCTGAGCCCATCCATCACTAAAGTTTGATACGCTGGGTTGGGTTTAAGCCCGAATTAGGGAATTGGGATCTACTCCTCACCTCTTCACACCGACTACACAGGCACATCTCACCATGGATTAAGAACATCTCCCGTAAAGTATAAATACGAAAGATGTTCCATCATAACAGCATAAACGTAGATATACACATATATGTATATTAGTAAATGTGAACGTGCATGATAATTTCAGTATTTTTGTCTAAACCAATTATTAAAAGATGAATTATCAAATCATTGTGTGTTTTGAGTTTTTTTTTTTTTTTCTTTTCATTTCCGTTATTAGTAAAAATATTACTTATTTAGCATGTCTATTTTTGTTTAATATGATAAATGTATGATATTGGATATATGCACAATTTTTTGTATTTTTCTATTCTTTTGTTTTAATCATTTTTTTTGAATTTTTATAATATAATTATGACATCATTTGTTGAACATTTGGCTTGAAAGAAAATGCCTCACTTTTAGGAAACTTTAAAAATTTTTATTCTACTTTTATAATTTATTTAGAAGAATAATTATTGTTTATCATGTTTATCTTTGTTTAATATGATAAATATATAATATTTAAGATATGTTAATTTTTAGCTATAAGGTTTCTTATTTTTTTTAATTTCTATATATTTTAGTAGTTATTTTTTAATTATGACACAATTGGTTGACCCATTTTACCCGAATAGTTGAATCATTAGGGGTGCAAGTTAGGTGGGTTGGGTTGGATTTAAGCTCAACGTAGGCTCAACCCCTAAGAATTGGGTCTAAAGCCCGAGCCCAAGCCTAATTTGTCCGGTCCAAGCCCAACTAGACTGGAATTTGATGCGCTCAGGTTTAGACCTAATCCAAAATGTTGAAAAATCCAAATTTTTGCTCCCACCTAACCTAAGGACCAAAATTCCAAACCCAACCTATCTTAAAATAGAGAACTAGGTTAGTTTGGGCTCGAGTTGGGTGCATCCAAGTAAACCCCTATAGACTATTGACCACCACTTAGATGGAAAAGAGTTGTCTTTATGAATTAGCTTAATTTTCTATTCTATTTTCAATTTTCATCATTAACAAAAAGAACATTTATTTATGGCACCTATTCTTTTTAACACGATGAATATATATTATTTATTCAAAATTTCTATATTTTTAGTACTTTTATGCATTTATCTTTTTTAATTTTTTATTATTTAATTATGACATTATAGGTTTGCCTATTTGACCCAAAAGGTTGAACCATTGATCCACCACTTGAATAAGAAAATGGTATGTTTCTGGGTAGATTTTAAATTTTGTATTTTTCATTTCGATCATTAAAAAAATTCTTATTTGTCATACTTATGTTTTAATACGATAAACATTTAATATTAGAGATGTGCTCAAGTTTTTCCAATTTTTTGTATCTTTTATAATTTTTAGATTTTTATTTATCTTTGGGAAAATTCTCAATTATTACCCCTGTACTTTTGGCCTACTACCACTTCGATCTCCAAACTTTAAAACGCGACAATCCAGTACCCAAACTTTCAAAATGTGCCAATCCAATACCTATCATTAACCAGTCATCAGTTATGTGTATCACATGATGATATGTGTGATTTAAAATTTTTGAAAATGTCAAAATTATGCTTCAAAACACTATTCACCATCTTCTTCCTCATGAATTAAGATTGAACCACAACAATGGTGAACAATCCCAAACCCGCCAGGTTTGGGGTTGCATTTGAAACTTTCCAACACTTGAGTCATGTCTTAGTGCAACCAATGATGACAGCCATCTTAGTATTTGTCCAACATACACGAAGACATCTCGACCAGCGTAGAAAGAAAGAGAGTGGCAATGTTGATTCTTCCATTCCAAAGTATCAGAGGCTCGATGGTGCAATGGAGACAACACAAACAGACTTCAGGTGGTTCAACCAAAGGGTCCTTGATCAAGCTCCATGCTCTACCAAGACGTTTCGTCCTTTCTATAGAAACGATTCAAGAAGAAAATTAGATTGAAGGGATGGGATATCCATCACATGGACGCCCAAGTCTTGCGGAATGGATTGGGCGAATTTCAAAAATTTCTCCCATCTTTGCCAGGAATCGAATTCCCTATATTTAGAAAAACATGTTTTTCAAGGATCAATCTTGAATCAAGAACCAAACCAGATCTAAACCAAAGGGAGTAGGAGGGAGGATGTACCTGATACAGAGAAGCAATATCTCCCAATGAAGGTGTTCACGCCCAAGGAAGGATCCAAAATTTTCTCCCACTAAAGATGGCGCAGTGCAGGATGGAGCAGAATCAGCAATGTTCTTCCAAAAGAACTTGACCCTTCGTAAGAATCAACTGGATGGCTTGTGAGTATAGCTCCAACTAATCTTTTCCCAAAAGATTGGAATCAAGATCAGAGGTCTTTGGAGACATCTTCTTGGAGAGATTGACTCCATGCCTGAAAGGAACATTTCCTTTCTTGGAGTTTTCCATGCTGTATCTCTTGAC